GCCCGGGCCAAACAGAACCGGGGAAAAGATCGTATGATTTACCTGTGGGCGTGCTCTAAATACGATGAACATTGAACTTCTGAGGTAGTATTTGTAAAATCCTTTCCGGGCCGACAGAAATGTATATCGGGATTGACTGAAGTATTTATACGTTTTGAATCCTGTTTCGTTTCACGACTTCTCTTTTAGACGTAACCTTGCTTAGTCACTTTCACAGGACACTCGTCTTCCTGAGTTTAAGCGATTTACTCGTACTAAGGTTATTATGACACACGTGTGTGGCTTACTGCTGTCCATATTGTCATGGGTGTAAGCTGCATTAATTAATTGTAGACATGGTTTTCGATAATCAATGTAGTAGCGAAATATATACTTGGCCCTCCTTGACCCGGCTCGGCCCGGCCCGAGTTTTAGGACATCCCCCTTCTCGTTGTTTCGAGTATTTTTCTCGTTCCTTCAACTTTCTTTCAGAAACCTGAAGTAACGAGAAAATACTCGAAGCAACATACTTGAAATTTCAAGTTTTTGACAGAAACTTGAAGCAACGAGAAAATATATGAAATTTCAAGTTTTTGATAGGCACTTGAAGTAACGAGAAATTAATCGAAGCAACGAAAAAATAATTGAAATAACGAGAAAATATTCGAAGCAAAGAGTCAATATTCGAAATTTCAAGTTTTTGAGAGAATCTTGAAGCAACGAGAAAATATTCGAAGCAGCGAGAAATTAATCGAAGCAACGAAAAAAATAATTAAAGTAACGAGAAAATACTCGAAGCAACGAGTAAATACTCGAAATTTCAAGTTTTTGACAGAAACTTGAAGTAACGAGAAAATTATTGAAGTTACGAGAAAACACTCGAAGTAACGAGAATTGTAGCAGAAAAAAATATATTTATGCTACAAAAGTGGCAGCAATAGGCTTTCGTAGTCAATATCGTTGGTTGGGGAAATCTGTTACATAAATTTGCATGATTAAATAAATTATACACTGCTTCTTGTTGAAATATGTCAAGCTTTGACGGCTGAGTCGGTTAGATGGCTGACTGTGTGTGCTGGCGATTTGGTGCCTGACTCTGAGAGTGTGGGTTCGAATCCCTGATGGAACTCAAAAGTACTACAATCTGTACTTTACTGAGAAAGTGGAATCCCAAATAGATTACATGCATTACACTCACTCACTTTCTAAATGGCATTGTGCATTCAAGCGAAATTCAGCGTATCAAAAGCCAACTACCATATACATTGTATAGTTCCCTCGATCATCTGTGTAAATCTAACAGGACACAGAAGTTAACAGCCACATTTATTCATTAGGGTAAGGTTATGTTTTGACTTTAAAAATTACGTAAATATAAATATTATTATTGATTCCAAACAGTACTTACAAGCATGGTTATGATTTCTACATTTTTGAAATACATAGCATCAGGTATTCAAAAAAACTAATTTTCGTTTAAAGAATATTTAAAGAATTTCCAAGTGGCGTCAACTCGATTTTGATGTTAACATGACCTCCTTACTGAATCAGGTTGACGCTGTGGAATCCAAACAAGATAAACGTTGTCATCTATGCAATTTTAATCATACCGAAAACAAATATCACTCTTTACTTGTTTGCTCATTTATGTCCTTCAAAGAATTCTTTCAGTACTATTTTCGGTCTGAATGTTACTTACAAATTAAACAATTAAAAGCGTCAGTGCCTATTTTCTATATGTTATGGATCTTAGAAAGTTAACTGACTGACTGAGGTTTGTTTTTTACGCCGCTTTTAGCAATATTCCAGCAACATCACGGCGGGGGACACCAGAAATGGGCTTCACACATTGAACCCATGTGGGGATTCGAACCCGGGTCTTCGGCGTGACGAGCCAACGCTTTAACCACTAGGCTACCCCACCGCCCCAGAAAGTTAACAGCCAACACAGTAAGATATATTATTCTGAAGGCGAACAAACTACTTTGTTTCCATGTTTTATAGGCATTTTGGCCTTCTAAGCATTAAGAAATCAAGATTGACTGACTATGTAAACTCATGTCCAAAAGAAACGATACCAAATATTTTTTTCAATATTTTTCAATTAATGATACTTTTTGGAGAAAAAACATATTTCTGTGTATCCCACGTTCCGAACCAAACGTATTCGATCGAAAAAAAAACGGTAACATTTATTCACTTAAGAAGCAATCGCACGAATACTCAAAATGACGTTAAGTCGTGTAGCACGAAATGCACGTGCAGATGAACTGTGTAAAACCGCTGGTCCGACACGTTGTGCCCACAGCAGTAAAAGCACACAAAAGAAATGGCACGTTTGACAGCGATCGAGAGAGAAAGAGCCGTTGGAATGGTCCGACAGGGAGCATCACACGCCGCTGTAGCAAGAACGTTTGGATGCGCGCGCATAACCGTTACCAGGTTAATGCGACGGTTGCGTCAAACAGGCCGAACAACAGACAGGCCGAGAAGCGGGAGACCCCGGGTGACCACGCCTATTCAAGACAACCACATCCGGTTACTTCATCTACGTAGCCGCTTCGTTCCTGCGACGTTAACGGCGGCGACGGGACTGGGACACCGGATCAGTCGACAAACCGTCTACAGGAGACTGCAGGCACATGGTATCCGTGCACGTCGCCCCTACCGCGGAGCCTACCTGACACGTCAAAACAGAGTCAACCGATTGATATGGGCCAGGCGTGTTCGGCGGTGGCAACGTCGAAACTGGGCACGTGTCTTGTTTTCGGACGAAAGCCGGTTTTGCCTTTACAAGAACGATGGTCGGCAGCGAGTATACCGAAGAGTTCGTGAACGTTTGGCGCCGAACTGCATCCAGCAAGTCCATGCATTTGGAGGTGAAGGTGTAATGGTGTGGGGGGTATCTGCGGTGATGTGAAAACGAGGCTCGTCATTATTCGGGGGAACCTGAATGCACAGCGTTACCAGGATGAGGTTTTACGACCAGTCGTGCAGCCATTCGCCCAAACGCATCCAGGAGGAATCGTGTTCCAGCACGATAACGCTAGGCCTCATACGGCAAGATTGACCCAGAACTTCCTTGCCAACGCCAACATACAGGTTTTGCCATAGCCAGCGTGTTCACCGGATTTGAATCCCATTGAGCACATATGGGATCACCTCAATCGGAAAATCAGAAAACGCCCTGCGCCCCCAGCCAACCTCCAACAATTGGAACATTGTCTCCAGGATGAGTGGCAGCGAATCACCCCTAACGTCATCCGACGTTTGACGTCATCAGCTCGGAGGCGTGTCATGGCATGTATCGCAGCTGCTGGTGGACATACCCGGTACTAAAGTGGCGTTAAGACTGTTTTCAGAGACTACCCTCACTAGCCTCCTCCACTGTGCTAAAATGAATTTTCAATTTTGGGCACCACACTTCGTTTAAAGCCCTGTGTTAATGATTGTAAATCTTTGATTGCCATGACTTTTTGTACACATGCCGTAAAATCATTTATCTAATGAAAGATATCAATTTGAAATGTCTATGTTGTTTTGTTTTAATTTAGTGATCTTTGAAACACGTGGTATCGTTTCTTTTGAACACTAGTTTATTTCACAATATACTTTCTTGTTTGAAAATATGTATTTTTTCAATTATTTCATGCAATGGAAAAAGGCTATCTAGGTGTCTCTTTTTAAGTATCTAGACTGGTCCTGTTCGAATTAAATGCATATATTCTCCACTCTGGGTGAGGACAAACTCCCAACCTGTACACAGAGATAAAGAGATGACCTACAATGCAGGCTATCAGGCTGTACTGCCCTACACAGGAACGTGTCACAGCCACGGTGAACGTTCACACTCAACTAGGGACCGGCCATCTGAAACTCGGGGGGGGAAGGGTGTGTGTGTTGGGATTATGGAATGAAAGAAAACAAATTTCAAGCTTTCGAGACATACATTATAAGAAAGCGCTAATAGTATATATGACCCATAAATGCATAAATTTGCATTACATGACTAACTGGCGATTGGCTGAACCTAAGACTTCTTTGCTATGCATATTCAGAAACAGATTGTTTTATTTTAAGAAAAATGTAAATTAAAACGTCAACATCACATAATAACAGTGTTGGTTATCTGTGTAAAGTGAAAAAAGCAAAAAAGTGAAGATTATCAATCATATCGATCACTGAAAATCAGTGCTGACATCAAGTGTTTGCGAAAACCCCAAGCATGTCCTGCATTAACTCCATCGTGGCCCTTCTGTATTATTGCTAACTATACTACTGCATGCTATAGCAACAGTTGAGTATACTATTGCCATACTATAACGGTTATTGTAACAGCCGGATGGGAACCTTTTTCTTGCAATAATTCTGCAAATCAGAGGTTCTTACAGAACTCAAGCCCCTTCATTCTTTGTCTGTTGTCAGTATATGAGCACTTTGGAATTGTAATTCAAACAAGGTCAATTTTTATTTCAAATAAGTAAGAAGTAACTATTTGATTGAATCTATATTTTTTAGCCCAGTGACTGAAGTGTTCGTATTAGATTCCCAACAGGCATACAATGCGTTATTTTAGTGGTAGCCGCCGAGGTTGTAGTGTGGTATCGACACTGATATACAGTGAAGCACATACTTCGAGTTATCAAAGGTTCAACACATACGGAAAGCTTTGACTAAATTTGCAATACAGGGAACAAGCTTAAACGCAAACACAAGGTCGAAACAACGGTGTTTGAATTTATTACCAGTATCCCAAAAGTTCCGTGATGCATCGACAGTGTGAGTAATCTGAACAATATGTGTTCAGTGTGTACCTTCTGAGATTATCGCCAATACTACGGTTGTTACAAATACCAGGTATGGCACTACATGTCCGAGCATTGTCCGCCCATAGGTCAAGTCAATGCGGGCGTCTACCTTTGCAATCGACTGCGACTTCGACGAATCCAGCGAGACTCCCCGAGTCCTGTGTAATGGGGATAGGATGGGGGAAGGGGCAGCCTTAGGGGAAGGGTACTTACCGTATGCCTGACCCCCGGTTTGATCCAGAGATAAGAGGACAAGCAGCACACATGCTTCAGATATGATGTGGAGTCTCATCGTCACTGGACCATTACATCTGAAATGGATAATATTTAAGTAGCTATACAGACTCGATATTTCCTGGCGTATGGCACTCTCGCTGAAGAAAAGGCAGTTCAAACACTTGGCATATGAATGAACTCATAATTATATAACTGCCGCTAGAAGTTGTTTAAATCGGATTTGACAAAAAGTCTCAAACAAAACATTTGCACATACACGCGTTACCAGGTCGGCAAAACTCGCAAAACCCTGCAAACGTAAGGTCTAACGTAAAACTATGACATGCTTTTGAAATACCACCATAATGATTCACTGTTTTAGACACACTCACGCGTTGGCGCGTACTCCTTGTATCAGTTTAGTCAAAGCACTTCCGTCACCTGTACAATGTTTACCTTTTACCTATACGGAACCTGTTTGAAAAGAATAAATGGAGAGGGAATATTCACATGCGCCACGTTTTGAATGCATTCTTAAAATGATCCATTATGTTTTGCTTCTGCACAATCCAAATAACTCTTCACGTGGTGTCAAATATTTAATCTACGAAAGCCTAATGCCACTTTTGTAGCATAACATATTTTTTCCAGCGAAATTTATCGTTGTTTTGATTATTTTCTCGTTACTTCGTTTATTTTTTGGCTGTCAAAAACTTGAAATTTCGAGATTGTTCTCGTTGCTCCGAATATTTTCTCGTTGCTTCAAGGTTCTTTCAGAATTAATTGAAATTTCAAGGTTTTGAAAGAAACTTGAAGTCACGAGAACATACTCGAAGCAACGAGAAATTAATTGAAGCAGCAAGAAAATTGTTGAAATGTCAAGAAAATATTTGAAATGACGGGAAAATAGTCGAAGAACTGAGAAATTTGGCTGAAAAACATTTTACGCTACAACAGTGTCAGCATTAGACTTTCGTCAATATCGTAGCATTGAATTTATTTTGACAGAAGTTCATATTTCTAAAACGTCTCATTCTAACTTGAACCTGAGAATAAAGTCTGTTTCATGAACGAATAATAGTATGTTTAGCGTGCTTCAGGCTAGTTGAAGTTGTTAGTTGCTTTGGAACACAGAGGTGTGTTTGTACATGTGATGATGATCGCATTACTGAAACAGCACCTGGGTGTGCAACCAACTTCGAATAAAAACCGGGTTGATTTGAAGTCCCTTGGAGTGGGTCATATCAGCATTCTGCAGTGTTAATACCGCTACCATAATCTGTTGTACAGTGCGTCTGTCCTGATAGCGGAAGGTCGATAGCACATGGTCGCGCCACACCCAAACGGTTTAAGATGGAACATTTTGGTACCATTCCTGGCGATCGAAAGGACATATAATGTGCACGGTCCTTTCCATCATTAGAAGAAATCTATGCTAAATGCAGTGTAGACGATTCTAGACGTATTATAAACTTGTTCACAAACAGAACAACTAGGTGTTTGCGATATTAGTCTGGACTAGAAGTCTACACATACGCGTGCACACACGCACACACACACGCACACACACATGTCCTTAAGCAGAGAAGTAATCCTGAACACGACGTTGAACCCGATTTCACCTCACCTCAGACACGAGGCAATGTCCTGGTAGACACACAAAAAAGTAGCGGGTGTCCTTTTGCAATGGCCTCGTTTCATATCTAATCTCCTGAGAGGACATAAGTCAGTTCCAGGAGCTGATAACATCTACAAGACTGCAGATAATCATGCAGTGTGGCTGGTGTATCTTCTCGAGCACCCACTGGCTAGCTGAAGGACGTGTAATCTGCAGCTACAAAGTAGGTTGCAACAAATACGACACGAAGTGGGTTAACCTACAGTACATTCTCTGTTAATTTCCATGAGTAAAGTTAGTGAGTTTGGGGTTTTGTGCCTCCGTGAATAGTATTCCAGTCATAGTATGCAGTGTCAATTGAAGGGAAGCCACAAGTGATGGAGGTCTCATACACCAGTGACGTGACTTGACGTGACTTGACTTGACTTGACTTGACTTGACTTGACTTGACTTGACTTGACTTGACTTGACTTGACTTGACTTGACTTGACTTGACGTGACGTGACGTGACGTGACGTGACTTGACTTGACTTGACTTGACTTGACTTGACTTGACTTGACTTGACGTGACGTGACGTGACGTGACGTGAATTGATGTGATGTGACGTGATCTAATTCAAACATTGGTTTTGGTTTGCATGTTACCTACATCTAGAAGTGAAGACGTCTTCGGACATTGTCTGAGTTCGAGGTTGTCTTGTAAGATTTCTCTGGGACAACCAATCCTTGATGGCCCTGATTCGCAGTTGTTAACTCGGAGTTTTATGATCAGATATCGTGGGTTCAAATCCCACCGTACCTGTGATTATTGCGTTCACTTGAGAAGTAAACGTCCAATATATACATCGAGTCGGGCTTCCCTCTACAGTGGGCGGATTCACCATGATGGAACAGGAGTATTCTTTAAAGTTGCGTAACAGGCAACTCACTCACTCACTACACCTGTGTGACTGTTTTCCATTTTGCAAGGGTGTACCGAGGGAGGGAATCCCCCTTCCAGTACAGAATATTCTGGTCAAGAGACGAGTTACTTTCCCATGCTGTGGTCGTGACATGAAGCCTTAACATCTCACTGACTACCGATACATCAGGACACGCTTACTATGATGCGAACACCGGGTGTCACTACTGATTCCAATGATCATGTGATATACCCTGCACTATTTAATCTTTTATGGAATACGTTTCTGAAAGATTCCGTTGTAGCGCACATACTTGAATAGTGTTACATTTCGTACAGCTTTTCCTTTTACATTCTTCTGTAGTTAACTAAATGACCGCTACTAATCTTCAAAGGATTAATAACATACCCATGGCACATTGTTGGAAATTTTAGGTATCACAAATGATTGAATCCGATAGATTCAGCTGGAGATATAAGACAGTGATGTGGTTTCATATCCGAGTAAAGAATGTTTAGGTCCGACGATACAAATATACGCCCTAACCTGCAGTACGGTATTGTTGAACTTGATCATCCATAAAGACCTAACATTCCTATTACTTACAACTTCTAGAATGCCTCTCAAACAGTAAATTGAGGTTATCCAGATTTTTCCCCGGTTAATCGCCACTTTCTACAAGCATGGGGTGCAGATTTCTAACACGGGTCTTTACTGGTGTGGTGGTCTCGATATACAAAGGTAATATTAAAGGTTAAATCTTCGACCCTAATTTTAATTTGATATTACATTTGAGAAGAAAACACTACAAAATACCTACCCACTGCATGAATTAACTCCTGACTAGTTTAAACAATAGAAACTGTCCATCTTCTATATGTTTAAACATAATTTGTTTTAAAACAATAAATGTACAATACCGATTCGGTTTGAATACAGGAAAATATCTTATTTCTGAATGTTGTATCTTGTCACGCTAACCATAAACATAATAACTGACAATCAAGCCTTATGACATTGTCATAGTTCACAATATTCTGTTGGTGCCTGGTAATTAAAGCACTTTGTTCCAATACGTATTCACTTACCACGAAGATGAAAGTCACAGGCATGGGCGTTCTTCAAAAAGAGATATCCCAACGCGTAAGCCAACAGATTCAAGTGTGTTTGAGGTTCAGATTGGCCTTGTGCTTCCGATAGGGCCAGCCAATCACAGCGCGGCTTGATGCTCCAGATAGTATTGTTGTTACTGGAGATATCACCAAGCTGTGGTCCACTATGGCCGACATGGTATGCTGGTCAAGTCTCCATGTTGAGGTTCACTCCATCAACATACACGTCCCGAACACATAGAACTGTGTTGTTTACATGGTTAGGCAGAATGATGGTAAGTTTATGGATATACAACTTCTTTATTCTGTGAAAGGCGACGTTTCGACATGGATTCTAATGTCGTTGTCAAACAAGTGTCGAAACATCTCCTTTCACAGAATAAAGAAGTTGTATATCCATAACATTATAATCATTCTTCATCACCGCACATTCTAAAATGACCCTCAAAGTAGTCAAGGTTTATGCAGTTGTCTAGAATTCATAGTACTTTGTTGTTGACAATGTTTTATACAAAAAAAAATTAAAAATGAGAATCCATTCATTGTCTCGACCAATGTGGATCGGTTGGATCACTGTATTGCATTCTGATGATACTCATTATATCCACCACTAGTTTGTCGGATCCAGCTTTATTGTTTATTTACCGGGGTGATATGTAGTAATAGTAATACATGTAGTAATATTCTGCTTATATGGCGCTCATATCCAGGCACATTTCCTGCTCACGGCGCTACGTACATTACTATCCCCGGTCATAGGATGCTATCGTACTTTCTGATACATATGTCTGATACCTTTTCAACTCCCTGGAGAGCATACATCCATGCTGCCTCTTAGGCGCAATGAACTAAACACTCACATTGCCAGCACATCCTCACGGGTACCCATTTTGCAGCTGAGTGAACTGAGACAATGTGACACTGCACTTTCTGTGACAATGTTGGCTGTAGTGTGTCGCTTAGTGGAAGTAACACAGTGTGACCAGAAGAACATGCGACATGTGATACCTGTATGAAGTGTGGTTCGTGTGGTTCATGCAGCACCCAGTCATACACGCCCAGGTCAGATGCCTGGATCGGCAGGTAATGAGATGCAGCTCACCAGCAACATGGGATTGAAAACTATGTGGCCGACTGTTACTGGCCCATGTGTAGCTGTAGTGTATATATCCTTGTGTGTATGTTATGTTACTGAAGGAATAAGACACTGTTTGGATATTTGTGAGGTCCGTCTTTTACCATAACAAAGTCAATGACGAAACAATGTATATACCTGGTGACAAGAGATACAGACAAGTCATATAAAGATATGGTCAACTCCATTAACAAAGCCAATTTTGCATGTGGTCACTTTTGGCATTGACATATAGGAGGCAGGGGCGGTACGTTGAAATTTTTTTCAAAAGTAAAGCTAAAATTGACCAAGGTCACCTTGAGTTACCAGCTGATTCTGGCCCTGTGTACCTGTCTCTTCCCCAACATGTTCTTTGAAGGAGAGGTCTGGAGTAGCAATCGGTCATGGCTTTGGTTTGTTGTTATTATTATTATAATATTTCAGCTATGTGGTGGCGATCTGTAAAGATAATCGAGTCTGGACTAGACAATCCAGTGATCAATATCATAAGTATCAATCTGCCCACTGTGAGCGAGCCTGACCACCCGATACCGTTTGTCGCGTAAGCATGGGTAGCTGAAAACCAATTCTAATGGGGTTCTTCACGGGTTCGGTCATGGGAGTACATCCGCATGCTTAGCTTTTTACGTGGTTACAACAGTTGTCTTCGGCACCATGAGCCTTAAAACTGCTCTGCACCGTCTCGGCGTGAACTGATTATATCTTTGAATTCTGGCCCATGCATGCGACAGTTTGATCCAACTTCTGGGGCGCCGGCTGACATTCACGGTCGAGGTCATCCTACAAATACTCGAGGCCTGTGTGGGGTCTGGCGTTATCCTGCTGGAGTCGTTGGCACTTTCAAACACAAACGTGCATAAAAAACTTCCAAAGATGCGTCCCAGCACTCAAACCTAGTTCCACGTACACGTCATGAGAACATATATTGGCGAAATTATGACAGACTAACACTAATTGTGAAAAATAGTTAAATTGTATGTATCACCTGTGCGTTTCCTTTAGGGAGGAGGCATTATGAAGCCATGTTTCGAGATAGTTTCGTATACAGTTGCCAAGCAAGAGTGACGTGACGTCACTGCTGTACGGTCGGCCCGTGGTAAGACATGATTTGTTTGAGTTTCATTCTAGAAGTTGGTGGTATAGAGATGACAAGACTTTATGGATAATCAATATCTTTACAATCAAGACATGATTGTTGCCCGCGTCACCAAAGATGTGATTTTGTGTTTGGATGAACGTTAAAGTGTCTGGCAAGTTCGCTTTGAGCTTTACCTGTTACCATCATACCCACTTGGTATAGATTATCAGCAAGCCGTGGCATTTCGTACGGTATTACTAACTAATATGTACTGTTAAACAGAAATAATTAAATGAGCTCCTGGTAGCTGAACATAGCTCGCTGTCTGTGGTCACATGAGAGTTATACTTCAGACCAACACTCAAATATCCAAAACGTCTCTTCATAGCTCCTCGCACCATGCACATTGTTACCAACAAGGTACCATTGTTTCTCATACGTCTCAATTTAGTTGTTATACGATAAGCATTATTTCGGTTATAGGTTAAGTTGATTTCTACCAGTTTCGTGTTTGCTCGTTCTCGGGGCAATATATTAAAGAATTATTTAGTTGTTTGGCTATCAGGTTATCTCAGTTAGAGATACCCTCCCGGTATTGGACACCATACAAGCCCAGGAATTCGGTGGGTCAATACTGATAACGGCCTTCTGGCTAATAATGGCGTGTAAGCCCACTGGTCAGTGGCCGTGATTTCATATACACTGACTACAGATAACACAGAATAACCTGGAGTTGTGTCGTGGTAGAGAGGGTGATAGGGGTAGTGATTCACTTGCCTTACACTGAGAGAGATAGGGGCATCAGGTTATGGCGAGTCACTCATGCAATTGAAACATCAACCACTGGCTCGCAGTTGAAGTGGATCTAAAGAGTTAAATTTAACGTCGTAAATTTCAGCTATATAGCGACAACGCACAGAAGGTCGGTACTGCCAGAGAGAAAGAACGTACATCTATTTTCTAAACCCACCAGTTTGACAAGGAGCGTAAGTTGTGAAGTTTAACTTCACGCAAATGCAAATAGCGAAATATATTTTGGCATAGTATTTCGATTAAACACTCTTTTTGAGTATAATATTTAATCCGTTTGAAAAATGTCTTTACATTACCACACGCATGCCATTGTGTTAGGGTAGTCATAACATATTTGGCTTTAAGAACAAAATGCCTATATGCTCCTTAGGTTTGTGCCTGCGATTGTGCCTCAAGTCACCTCGATGGATGTGTATAAAACGATCTGATCTGTGATCATGAGTCCCCTGTTATTTCTCTCTTTCAGATGCAGTGGTTGGGAAATCCCGTGATTCAGCAGTTTGGACGGACATTTCAAGGAAGGGATCGAAGGTGTTGGATACTTTCTCCAATGTGAATTGTATTCTGTGGGGTCGTTGGGGGATATGTCGATGAATAGGGATGGAAGCGTGCTGTAGAGAGCGCTGATTCTTTGAACGTTGTCATTCGAAAAGATTTCAGTAGAGTGGAGATAGAGAGGGAGGTTTACAATCTTTCAATGTATTTGCTTGTAGTCTGAGGGAGGAAGATGTCAACATTGCCTTTTAGGGCCTGTTATTTGTATCACTTCTCAACGCCATTTAAACAGGTTATTTACGGAGAGGTAACTGTCATATTCTGACACAATTCGTTTACTGCAATATACGTGTGGTAATTTTGTAACTTACTCTCGTAGTCACATGTGGGTAATTTCAGAAAGCAGGTAACTGCAGTCACAGACTTACACAGATACATATGGACGCTGTGAATAAGAAATTGGAAAGAATACAGTGGAATCCACTGATTTAGACATTATGAAATTAAACTAAATAATATTTAGTTACTTTGCAAATTTAATGTACAAATTCAACTCATAATCACCAGTCGACGAAGAACAATTACGAGCGCTTCAAAAAATACCAATACAGATAGTTTCAATGTGACTGCCACCCCCCGATGTAACTCTTGTGACAAGTCTAGATTACTATAGTTTGAGTAAACGAAGAAAGAATGTGTGCTCTCTTTTATCATTTTATGACTATAATTTAGGAACGAATTTAGTTTCGGTAATATAAGTTCAGAGACTAGATGTGGCGTGTCAATTTCTTTTTGTGGTACAAACAAACCCCCTACGTTGGTAATTAATTGTTTTTTCACTGGATGCTTAAATATGGAACTGCAAAGGTCTCAAGGAAACGGTCACGGAATTTCTGTAAAATCTCCGATATGTGTATGAGTATTCTCATCACTTTCTTTATATATATATATATATATATATATATATATATAGAGAGAGAGAGAGAGAGAGAGAGAGAGAGAGAGAGAGAGAGAGAGAGAGAGAGAGAGAGAGAGAGAGAGACGGAGAGAGAAACAGAGAGAGAGAGAGAGAGAGAGAGAGAGAGACAGACGGACAGAGAGAGAGAGAGAGACAGAGAGAGAGAGAGAGACAGAGAGAGGGTGTGCGCGTGTGCTAACATTATAATAATGACACTTTGGGGCTGGACTCCACACCGCACAGGACAGGCTCTAAGCGCATGCAGAGTTTAGATGGACATTTGTCAAGGAATATCAATCAGATGGGTCTTCAGGTCAGATTTAGAAGCAGTCAAGGAAGGGGCACATCTGAGGTGAAGGGGAGAGGGCTCCATAGCACAGCAGCAGATTATAAGGGGCACATCTGAGGTGAAGGGGAGAGGGCTCCATAGCACAGCAGCAAATTATTCGAAGGATCTGACACCAAAAGTCTTCAACGTGCAGGGAGGCACAGAAAGCTGGAATGTATCACCTGAACGAAGATTTCTAGAAGGTTGATACATTGTAAAAGTTGGAAGATCTTGTAGACTGACTGGTAAGCAAGACATTAAGACTTTAAATTTTATTTTTCCTGG